TGGTTGTATACCCTTGTTCTTAAATATTCTGACCAGATCCTTGCTTTCCTGCTTATAAAGGGGAAATATGTGGTTGATATTACAGAATTTTAAATTATGCCATTGAAAGAATCCCATTATTCTGGATATCATTACATAAATCCAGCTTTATAGAGACAAGTGATTTTCTGCTTAATGCAGTGAAAAAATAGGAAACACAAGTAAAATAACAGTGACATAACATTTTTCACCTATAATTTTGACTAAAATTAAAGATTGATAAAATGTGAAAATGTAGTATATTCAAAAATATACCAGTACCAGGGACTGAACCCAGGGGCACTTAACCACTGAGCCACATTCGCAGCCCCCCCTTTTTTTCTTTTGGTGGTGCTGGGAATTGAACCCAGGACCTTGTGCATGCAAGGCAAACACTCTACCAATTGAGCTATATTCCAAGCCCCCATTCCCAGCCCTCTTTTGTTTTTTTATTTTGAGACAGGTTCTCACTAAGTTGCTTAGGGCCTAAGTTGCTGAGGCTGGCTTTGAACTTGTGATCCTTCTGCCTCAGCTTCCAAGCCACTGGAAATACAAGCATGTGCCTCTGCACCCAGCCATATACAGAATCTTTTAAAAAAATATACTGTTATGGCCTTTTAAGAATAAATTTTTGCCAATTGTCTATAAAAAATACATAAGATATTCATGTCTTTTGCACTTAAAAAAACTTCTGCATTTATGTCTTTCTCATAGGAAAACATACATTTTTTTCAAGAACTCATGTTCAAATATGTTAATTTGAGTTCTATTAATCATAGCAACAAACAGGAAACAATGTATGCATCCATCAGGATAGTGTTTAACCACAGCACTCAAATAATTCAGAATTCTAGGGGGTAGTTATAAAAGCGAAGTAGATCTATATGCGCTGTCATGGAGAGATCTTGCACTCACTTTACTAAGTGACAAAGTTAAGTGCAAGGTCAATGTGTATATTATTACCAACTATGTGGAAAGAAGTATATTTTTATAATACATAAATTTATGGAACATCCTAGAATAAGCTTTAAAATGATACACACCAGAAAAAAATGTAGTTACCTCAAAGGAGGATGTTTTATTCTGGAGGAACTTTAAAGGAGAAAATGTTGATTGATTTGTATTTTCAGAATTTTTTTGAAAACAAGACTATATAAACTACTACCTTTTAAGTAAAATATTTAAGCCTAAAAACAGAAATAGAAGGCATATATTAATGAGTTTAAGTAACTGTGCCAGCTAATGCAAAAGACAAACCCTGATATTTGAATGGTTTAACACAGAAGTTTATTTTTTGTGTTCATAAATTGTGATATTGGTTGACAGGGACTTCTGCTCTCAGTACACCCAGGGACCCAGGATGCTTCCACATTTGGCTCCTCCATTTCCACATGGGGTCACCATGTTTGCTACTGAATGGAAGAAGCAGCATGGAAAGAGCAAACTGGAAAGAGAGGAAGATAGCATGTGGATGGGCACTTTTAGTTTCTACCACAGGCTGTCAAAATAGTAGGCGCTCAATAAAACACCATTATTATAATTTGTTATGATATTAACCATCTCTATTTGGGGGGAAGTTTCTAAAAAGACAAAAATTTATCTTTAAATCCATCAACTTTTTCCAAGAACCTCCTATGTCACAGGTGCTTTCCCATGTAAGATCACACTCGGTTCTCAGACTCCTAAAAACCTTAGCAGGTAGAATGCACCCTTCTGCACTCAATAGTACTATTCTACACAGCTCCCTGAAATAACCTGTATAATTTCACTAAGCTGAAAGCATTTTCCTTCCTTATGACACATGGCCAAAATCTTAACTTAAGAGTCTTTGCTTCCTTACATGTAAGTGAACACTACAAATACATTTTTAGGTGCCTTTTGAAAAACTGCAAACTAGGATTTTCCCGTTATGCAGGCACAGACAAGGGGAGTTGGAAGAATGGTTGTCTCAGTCAGTTCAGGCTGCTGTTAAGATTGCTTTGGTTGAATTACTTAAAAATCAGAAATACATTTCTTATTCTTCTGAAAGCTGGCAAGTCCAAGATCAAGGTGCCAGCAGATTAATGTTTGCTGAGGGCTCCCTTCCTGATTCACAGATGGCCATCTTCTCACTATACCTCACATAGTGGTGGAGGGGAAAGAATAAAAGCTCTAGTCTCTTTCTCTTCTTATACTGACACTAATCCCATCATGGGGCTTCACTCTCATAACCACATCTAGACCTATTTAATTTCAAAAGGTCCTACCTCCTTTTTGTGGTTTAGTTTCAACATATGAATTTGAGAAGGGGGACACAAACATGTAGTTCAGAACAATGGTTATTTTTGCTAAGAAGTCATTGTTTGCCTCCTAGAAGGACCCCAGGATTTTAAGGATTTAGGCTCTGCACATATTTTCTTACACAGATTTCTAAGGTTTTTCTTCATCCACTACTAGGAGAGGCTTTGATTTTTACCATGTGGATAAATTCATTCATTTGTATATGTGTCTAGTGGCTAATTTCAAAAAGGGTATCCCATTAAGATTCTACTTGAAGTACCAGAGTGGTTTAAAAAAAAAATCTATATAATTTCTGGATCACAAACCAATAAGCAGTACTTAATATGCCAAATCAGATTCTACTCACAGGCCCATTTGGAAGACACTTGGAGAAGGCATTAAACATTTTTGGAGAGCCCATCTACTATGTTTATATGAACCACGTCTCTGCAGTCAACCCTGGAAGCATCAGGGTAGTATGCTCTTTCTTCCTCTTGAGGTGAGTGGGGGTATCTCTGGGAAGTAAGGTCTTGATCTGAAAGGACAATGTCAGATCAGCAGGGGGTGGCTCAGGCACTGTTGGGAATAAGGATGAATACAAAGAAGGATGACCGAGGATACCCTCACAGAAGAATAGATGAGACCTACTCCTGGGCAGAAATGGCTGCTTGTGGCATCTCTTCATTTTTGTCTTAAGAGTCTGAGAAGTGAAGGTTTGAGAAGCCCTGGCTTCTGGAGATTTTTAAGACTGCTGGAATGTATATGCTTTAAGTAAAATACTTGGCACAGTACCTAGCATATGTTTGATATTAAATGAATGGCAGTTATTTTAAATATCATTTTGACTCCAGAACCTACCATCCTCTCCTCTAGGGTTTTGTTGTTATTATCCAGGACTTCTCAGAAAACATGCAGCTGACCAGGAGAAAAAAATATCAAATCAGTCAAAAATGCAGATACCCAAATAGAAGTAATTAAGTTTTCCCTCTTAGAACATTATGTTAATTTGGATGTGAGTCAGTTTTCCCCAGCTGATACAATTCAAAGAACCTACAATTAAGTCAAATACCAACTCTTTCCTTCTCACCCAGCTTCTCATCATCTCAAAAATACTTTTATTAATTTCACTGCCACCAAATACTAGCCCTTGCTTACACCTGGCCAAATTGAAATCAAGATAATCTGCCTTTTTTTTTTTTTTTTTTTTTGGTACTGGCGAATGAACTCAGGGGCACTTGACCACTGAGCCACCTCCCCAGCCATATTTTGTATTTTATTTAGAGACAGGGTCTCACTGAGTTGCTTAGTGCTTTGCTGTTACTGAGGCTGGCTTTGAGCTTGCAATCCTCCTGCCTCAGGCTCCTGAGCCACTAGGATTACAAGTGTCCGCTTCATTTCATTTTTTTTTATACATTTATTTTATTTATTTATTTAAATTTTTAATATTTATTTTTCAGTTTTCGGCGGACACAATATCTTTATTTGTATGTGGTGCTGAGGATTGAACCCGGGCAGCACGCACGCCAGGCAAGCGCGATACCGCTTGAGCCACATCCCCAGCCCTCATTTTTTTTTTTTTTAAAGAGAGAGTGAGAGAGATAGAGAGAGAGAATTTTTTAATATTTATTTTTTAGTATTTGGCGGACACAACATCTTTGTTTGTATGTGGTGCTGAGGATCGAACCCGGGCCGCACGCATGCCAGGTGAGCGCGCTACGGCTTGAGCCACATCCCCAGCCCTTCATTTCATTTTTAATGGAGTGGGCTCTGGTAATCCCAGGCCAGGGAAGAATGCCATCCTGGTGGCTTCTAGGAACCTTCTCAAGGGAGTACCACCCTATTTCCCAGGAAATTCTTGCAGCTATTTTGTACAGAACACTTAGTTCATGCAGAGTTAGCGTGTGCTGGGACAAGTGCACAAGACACCTTCCACACCTGGCCCAAGTGGAGATTCCTCTCTTGTTTAGCCATTATCCAAAAGGAACTGCTCTGATCAGTTTTCCATTCCAGGCTTTTCTGTCACCAGTAACACACTGTCCAAGAGTCTGGCCGCTGCCACCACCCAGCTTAGCCTAAACTCCCACAGAAAGAATTAGAATTTCTCAAATCCCCAAACTGCCTGGGCTCAGGGCATTTACACTTGACTGCTGGCAACTAGAGTCTCACTTCGTTGTTTGTTCATTCTTTTACTTGTTCCTTACAGACATCTCACCACATTCCTGATTCAGTGACTCTACCATTCTTGTGGGTAGAGGTGTGTCTCTCTTACCTAAGGATTCTCCCTATTAGCGCAATTTCTTCCAAAAAGAAAATAATCTAGAAATATTTGGCGAACAAAAGTCAGAAAGCAGAGACCTTAATTCATTAAGATTTAATGATATTTTTCATACTTTCTTGAATAAGCCAAGCAAATCCAAGTTCACTGCATTTAATTTTACAGAAGAGTCTAAAAGAGTTAAAGGAATAAAAAAAATTAACAACTGCATATTTTTTCTCAAAATGTGATAAACAGCAATGTGTGACCAATGTCACTCAAACTAGATATTAAGCTAGTTATTCTAACAGAAACAGCATTTGAAAAGTACTCCCCCCAAAAGACAGTAACTGTCACCATACAGAACAGGAACAGAAAATTATACACTGTGTTCTCCGGAACATGACCCTGACCCTCCTCTACTTGGAATTTTAATTGCCTTCTTCAAAAACAGAGGGGAGAATCTGCCTCATTCTTCACTAGGGGCAGGAGATGCTGCTGACCAATGCTGGGCAATGAACAAGGCTGTACTATCATCCACAGGACCAATTCTGGCCTGGGCTCTCTCTTCCTCCTCTCTCAAAGCCTCCTCATACCAGCTAGAGAAGGAAACAGGGTCACTTCCTTTGACCTTGGCCAAAAATTCTAAAACTTTCATCTTGATGGTTTCAGCTTTAGCTCTTGGACCCCACAGGAACTCATAGCATGGAGGATCACTATTGGGCACCTGCCGGTACTCCAAGTAATTTTCCTGCACCAAATCTCTAGTGATGAACTTCCTGGGCTCCCCATATATGAAATGCTCCTTCCCATCATACACTCCCATCATATTCAGGAATTCCCAGATGTTTTCCTCAGAGGCACAGTTCCCCTCTATGAATATTACACCCAAAATAATTATCAGGAAGCCATTTTTAGGCATGCTCTGGTCATTAGTCAGTATCTCATCATAGGTGAGGTCGAGTGAGTTGACAAGGGCATAGAGGTGGCTGGCGGTGTCTGTTTCCTTCACATCAATACCAAAAATCACTTCCAAGCACTTAATAGCTTTCTTGAAGATCACAGGAAATTGATTCTTATACTCTTTGGTCACAACTCTGAGCATTTCCACTTTTGTGATGGGCTCCTTCAGTCGATACTTCAGAATCAGGATATGCACCAAATCAGTCACCTTCTCCTCAAGCGGGTCTCTGGGCGAGGATTCAGTATCCGTTGAAGACTGAAAGGTGCTTCAACTCTCTTCTTGGCTGCTGAACTCTTCATCTAACTTGTTCCATGAAGTCAGGGAGGAGTAGGAGCTCTGAGTGTTGGGAGAGGTGTTGGGAGAAGTCTTGGGAGAACTCTGGGTAGTACTTGGGGGAGTAGTCTGGGGAGAACTCTGGGGAGAATTACGCATTGCATCAACAGGCTCCTCCTCCTCTGGGGTATCCAGAATCAGAGAAGAGGAAGAGGAGGCAGAAGAAGAAGAAGAGGAGGGGTAGGACAAGTTTAAAGAGGAAGATGAAGTGGAAGAGGTATCATTTTCCTCCTCAGCTGTGGGAGCCTGTGCAATCATCAAGTCCTGTATATCAAATGGGTTCTGGAAGTCTTGCTCAAGGGTGAGGCGTGGACGTTTTGGAAAGCGAGGCATGATGATTATTGTTGGAGGCAGCAGGTAAGAGTGTGAGCAGAAGTGTAGTGATAGGATCCCACAAGCCTGGGGGTAAGAGAGACAGTGAGTGTCTCGGGGGGGGGGGGACTCACCTGTGATGGCTCTAATAAAAGCTCACTTACAAGTCTTGTCTTTAGGTGATGTCCTAGAGTTTCACAGGTCTGTTGTCTTTCTGGTTGGCTTGTACCTTAGGAACCTGTAGGAGGACATGAAAACCTCCTCAGGGTACAGCCAACTAGAAGAGTGTGAGGTTCCAGGGCTGACAGTAGGATACATGGGGTAAGTGCCATGGGGTCCCCCTCTGTTAGGGGCGTGTAGGGCCTCAGGAAACCTCACCTTGGCTCCTGACACTTCCTAAGCCTCTTTTGCTCTTTGATCTGAGGGCATGTGACTCAGACCAAGTCCCTCATCACCGGTTCCTGGTACCTCTGTAAGAGGAACCAGAGGTAGGGGGCTTCCCAGCTAAAGACTATAAGCATAGCCCTAAGCTCCACAGAGCTGACAAATGGGGTCAGAGTCTGTGAATCTCCACATTCTGGGGTGGATGGTTTCTTCACTTTCCCCCTGGCAAGGCCTAGATTCTCTCCCTTCACTGGAATTTAGCAAAACTTTCAGAACAAGATCTCATATTCTGGAGACTAAGAGAAGGAAATGAGGTAGCACTACCTCCAATCACACCCATCCAGAGTCTCCCTGAGGTGACAGAAAGGGCTGGCCAAACTTTGTTAGGATTCCATCTCTCTTAGGTGTGAGGTATCCTCATTCCTTACACTGATGCCTGTCAGGGCCCAGGACTCTTTCCTCTGCTTACCCTTGTCTCCCTATCAGAAAAGTCCTCAATTCTTTGAGATCATGAAGATGGAACTTCAGCACATCTGGCTAGTAGGCTCTGGGCTTCCAAGAGCTGTCAGCATAGGCAAGGTAGCACTGGGTATGTCTTCAGTCCTACAAAGGGACATTGTGCCCTCAGTCCTCACTCAGGGTCCTTACCTTAAATCCTGGCAGTCTAGAACTCTTCCCTCTGCTAGCCTGATGTGGCTCCCTCTCAGATGGTCCCCTCCTCAGAACACGATCTTCACTTCCCTGAGAACATAGACAGAAGTGAAGAAGCACAATATCTGGCCACCTCTGCCTGGGTCTTACAGCACAGCACTGCCAGCAGAGGCCAGACCCTGTGTGTTATGCAGTAGGGATCCCCTTTGTCTTGCCTCATGGTATTCATTTTTACTCCTTAAAGAGTTGGGACCCAGCCTTGTTGAACTGACGTCCCACTTAGACCACATGATCTCTCTTCTCTGAGCCATCTATCCTACTCTTGGAGGGAGTGAAGGCACAGCACACCTTACGTACCCTGGCTGAGAACAGGATATAGCCAGACTCTGCAGGGTCCTTTCTTTCTGGGGCAGGAGGCATTTTGGTACTCACCAGGGTCCTTACCTTGACACCAAATGGAGCCTGGGACTCCTCCCTCTGCTGACCTGCAGTCACACCCTTAGGCCAAGGCTCTCACTTCTCTGAGACTCTCAAGACAGAAATGAAGAGATACCACATGCAGCCATTTCTGCCCATGGTTAGGTCCCATCTACTCTACTGTGGGGTTATCATATCTTCAGCCATCCTTTATGGTGTTCATCCTTATTCCCAACAGGGCCTGAGCCAACCCCTACTGACATGAAATTATCCTTTCAGATCAAGACCTCAATTCCCAGAGGTACCCGCACTTACCTCATGAAGGAAGTGAGAGCACACCATATCTGGCCAATCCTTCCAGAGTTGATAGCAGGAACATAATGGGAGTTTCTGCAGAGCCCCTTGTTTCTGGTTTTGGGGGGGTATCATTATTCCTCCTTCAATGTCTTTACCTTACCTTGACTCTTAAAAGATCTTGGGACTTCTCCCTCTGCTGATGTCACACACAAAAACCAGGGCTTTCACTTGCCTGGAATACTCTAGACAAAAGCAAAAAAGCACCAAATCAGTCACCCCTGCCCAAAGTCTATTGAGAGATTCATTTAGTCTTACCTCAAGGTATTCATCTCTACTCTTAGCGTGGTCCTTCCCACCCTGTGCTGACCTGAAATCTCCCCTTCCAACTAAAACCTCACCGTCCTGAAAAAAATCCAGTCCCTTGGCTTCTGGGAGAGCTTGTGATAGAAGTGAGAGTTCATTTCATTTGGTTATCCTAGCTTTCATCCTCCCAGTGCTTAGAAGGTATAGCTAGACTCTGTAGGATTCCTCTTTTTCAGGGGAGGATGGAGGGTGGAGTGTACCTTTAGTCCTCACCAATGGTGCCTTCCACTTCTAAACTCAGGCCACAGCTATTAGATCAAGGTTTTCACCTCCAAGACTACCCCCAATCCTGCCAAAAGTAAAGAGGTGCCACATCCAATAGCCATGCCCCTGGTCCTCTAATATTGTCAGCAAGAGCAAAGATCTGAGTCCAGGGCTGACTGCAGAGGCAGGGGTGAGGTCCTCCTCATCTGTGGCAGGAACCTCTCCTCTCCCAGTGTCATCTTAATGCCTTGGAGGACCTGGGGCTTCTCCCTGTACAGACACCTGCTGAACCCCATGTAAAAGCACCCCCCTCTTCAGAGTCCAAGATAGAAGTCAGATACACCTCATCCGGGAACCTTGCCTGGGTTTACTGTGAGTCGCCCAGGGATGACTGCAGGGGCAGGGAAGAGGTCCCTGCCACACCTGTGACAGGAACTTCTCCTCCCCCAATGCTTTGGAGGATCCGGGGCTTCTTCCTCTACTGACACCTGCGGAGACCCTGCGTAAAAGCACCCTTTCTGATTCCAAGATGGAAGTCGGATATACCACATCCGGGTACCCTGCCTGTTTGCCGCAGATGACTGCAGGGGCAGGGGAGAAGTCCTCATTTCCCTGAGAAGCCTAGGAAAGGAACTATGCATAATTATCATCCTGACTGGGACCTCCCCAGGCTGACGGTATGAGCAGTTTTTTTGTGAGTCTCCCATGGTTCTTCCTTAGGGTCCTCCCTGTGATTCCTAGCAGGGCCTGAGGGCTCTCCCCTCTCCTAACCTGAAGCCAGGGACCTCTAATGCCCCAGTGGGAAGTCAGGGGATCTCACATCCAGCCACCATGCTCAGAGCCTCTCAGATAGGAAATCAGGTAGAAGGCTGGATTCTGTGTGGCCTCCCCTATCTAGGATGGGGTCTATTCAGATCTCCCTCAGGGTTCCCATCTTAAATGTCTGGCAGTGCCTGGCCTCTCCCCTCTTCTGACTACAGAACTAACAGGAGCAGGGCAGGGTTGGTCTCATTTCTTGTGAAATGAGAGGTCTTGTAAGTCCTTCACAACCATCAGAGCCTGAACTCCTCCCTCTGCTAACTTGTGCCTGTTACCTTCAGACCAAAGCATCCACGTTCTTGAGACTCCCAAGCTGGAAATGAGGGGGACTGCTCAGCCAGAGACCTCTGCTGTGAGTCTCCTGGAAGTGACATCAACAGTAAGTGGGATTCTGTGGGATATCCTGTTCTGGGATGGGCAGACCCCTGGGTCCTCACTCTTGAGGGTCCTTGTATTGCATCCTGGCTTCTAACTAAATACTCGCTGGAAAATTATCCCTCTGTGCCATCTCAGTATTTGCTCAATTGGAAGTTTTGTAGAAAATGATTTTGAACTCCAGGCTATATGCTGGATGTGGAAGTAGTAGCACTCGTCACATGACAAAGAAGCCCAACTTCCTTCACTAGTCACACTTAGACTTTGGAAACCTTTTGTTTTAAAAGATTTATTTTCTACCCAGAAGAGGCTGAGCATGGTGATTTGGGGAGATCCTGTCTCTTTTGAGCTTCTCTAATGTTACTGTTCAGTGCAATTTCATTTTTATAACCCTTATCCATAGTGAGAAAAATATTGTACATTTCTACCAAGCATATGTGTAAATCATACATATGTGTGCATCATGAAAAAATCGCTACCCTTACTATGTGTGATTCATTATGATAAATACTATTCCATTTCCAGGTTATTTATGTTGTATTAAAATAATATTTTTTAAAAATAGTTCTCATCAATTAAACAGCATTCACTGGTTATTAACAAAGATTCTTGGTGTCAGACTGCTTTAATCAACCCGTTTTTTTCTTGCTGTCCTGATATTACCATAGGGCTACTGGCATCTGTTGTCTGAGAGACTACCTCAGGTTTATGTAATGAACCAGGAACAGAGATTTTAAAACTTTGCTCCTACCTATCCTGTCACCTTGCCCTATATTGCTGGCTATGGACCCTCCCCACTTCACTTAAGCCCACAACTCCCTCACCCCAAATACAAGTTCAACACAGTCTTCAGTTTCCCATGAGAGTTTTCATGTTTTGTTGTTTAGATTATGTTGCAGATATTTTTTTCATTCCATCTTTTGTCATTTTCAGGTTTGAATTGAGAACAGAAAATGGGATTTTTGGAGTCTGAGCTTGACTGTCATCTTCATGGCTATAAGTAAAGCACTACATCTGTGAATAAATTGATATCTTCATAATACTGTATACCCCATCAATGAATAGGAAGTACTGCTGTGTTTATTTGGGACTAAATTTTATATATATATATATTAGTTGTTGATAGACCTTTTTTTTAATTAATATGTAGTGCACATGCCAGGCAAGTGCACTACCACTGAGCCATAGCTCCAGCCCCGGGACTAAATTTATCTACATCTATCAGCAAACTTTATAATAAGTTTTGCAAGTATTTATTTAAGGTAATTTTTGGATCTTATTGTTCTTGTGATTAAGGTATTTTCTATTACATGTTCTAAGAGTTACTGCTTTTGTGTGGTAAGGCTGTTGATTTTGCTACAGTGACCTTATACTACCTGAAGTTTCTTATTCATTTCAGTATTCCATGTGCTGACTCCTTAAAATTTTCTACCTAGGTGATCATATTGTCACTGCTATGATCTGAATGTTTGTATCCCCCCAAAGTTCATGTTGAATTCCTAACCTCTCAG